CAGATGGAATCACAGTCTATGGTACTGTGTGCCGTTCCTATTTCATACAAGAACCCACGACTCAAACAGGTTAAGTAACTCAACCAAGTCACACGGTTGATAAGTGAATGCTTGGGCTTGCTTTTAACCACTGTGTGCTGCTTCTGTATGGGAAGGAAATTAAGAAAGACAAAGTCAGCCAGGTCCAGTGACGCCTGTGATCCCAGCTGCTCCAGAGGCTCAGGCAGGAACACGAAAAGTTTGGGCCCAGCCTAGGCAATTTAGCAAGACCTTGTCTCAAAAATTATTTTGAGAAAAACAGAGAAAAAGAGAAAGTCTTAGCTACACTCGTTAAAAGTGAAGTTTTATTAATCTAAGGTAATGAAAACATGTAAAAGGCACAATTACAGCACCATCTCTACTGAGCTTGCATTGAAATACATCGGCAGCTCTCCTAAATAGCTCATGGCAAACTGCTAGAGAGCTCAGCCGTCCCATTACCAGCACTGTTTCACCCTGCAGCCTGGCTTCTCTTCCTCCCTCAGCCCCATGAGAATGAAAGTAGGCTGGAAAGAATCTCCTCTCTCTCGGTGTTTCCGTGCCATCCCCAAATGTCACCCCACCATGTAAGTGCACTAGCACTTTTCCCTTTTAAATTGTGGCACTGTTTCTAACACAAGGTATGACAAGAAAAGGATGAAGAATGTTGTCACGCCTAGCTGTCAGCTAACCAAAAGCAAAGAGAACTATAAAAACCTAACAATTACAATTCACATAAAATGCCTATAACCTAGCCACACCATAGCTCTTTTTTCCCCTGCTTTATATACTACATACATATAAAGTTCAGATTAGATTAGATATTTGTAGTGGACAAAGTTCAAGTCCTCCTAGTTCTTTTTATCCATCATCCAACAGAAACAAATACTCTTATGATGATAATTATAATTATTTTTTCTTAGGAGAAAGGCATATAAGGGAAAACCAATCTCCACTAGCTCTAGGCCAAAACCAACATCTCTAACTCTATCCACTGTACGTAGGCCACTGACCAGCACACACAAGGCACTCTAGAGTCTACTGAATAATAGCTGCTATGTACCCCGCCCCAAGGCACTGTTTTAAACACATACATGTGCTAGCTCCCAGCCATCCTACAGGTGAGTACTATACAGTCGGTCTCCACAGGGGAAGGTGGCGTAGGGCACTTGTGATCTGCCCACAGTCATTCAGTTAGCAGAGGGGACCAGGGCTGAAGGAAGGCAGCACAGATGACAGCATTCCAACTAGACACAGTGGAGTCACAATTTGTTAAAACTGAGAGGTTTATGACAAACTGCAGCAATGGGAACTCTATTGCATCAGAAAACAAGGAAAATGTTTTTTCCTCTTCTACTTTTAAATACTCCATCTTGCCTTTCTTTATAAGGGCTCAAAGTCTTAATACTGCTGAACCCTTTGACCAAAACGTAATAAATAAATTTTAAAAGACAGAGGTGGTCTCAATCCCTGCAGTTTTGCAAAAAGAAGGCCAAGGATTTGGGCAGCAGAATTGGATCAAAGAAACTTACTCCCTATTTAGTTTTCTTTATACAAGCCAAGCCACTCTTTTAAAAGATCATTTCAGAATTCCATGCCTTTTGAAAATTCTAAAATACCACACACACATATATTTTCTACACTGCACTGTGTGAATACAAAACTATCAAAATTAAGAGGGAAGTATTATTTTGGGTTTCTTTCTAGTATTTTGTGGTTGAAAATGAAACAAAAATGTTTGGTATTATATGACAATATAAATATTAATATAAAGAAGCCAGGTGTGGTGGTGCACACACTTGTGCACACTTGGAGGCTGAGGCAGCAGGACTGGGCTAACTGGAGTCCAACCTGGGCTACATACTGAGTTCAAGGCCAGCCTGAATTATGTAATGAGGTCAAAAACCAAATGTAGTTATTTACTTGGTCGAAAACATCAAATAAATACTACATAAAGACACATAAAAATTGTCTTACTGTTGTTGCCATCCTTTCTGTCCAACAATTCCAAATTTATCTTTAGCCCCTCATCTTCAATTGCTCAAATGCCATACTGCATCACATCTAGAAGCACAATTCCATCCTTCAATGATTAAAATTTTCTCGAGGTCTGTTGGGTTAAGAATTGAGTGTTCCTTTCCTTGACATTCCAAGTTCCTATTAATCAGAAACCAAGGTTCCCAACGAAACTTGAGACTGTCTCTGAATGACTTTGACCACACTGCAAAGACAGCCTGCAAAAGGGGAGGGAGGACAATAGCTAGTTGTCCTTTAAGGAATAGTTTCCACAATTATCTGAATAGCTGGGAAGATGGCATCCCTAAAATATACACAGCAATTTTCCTTAGTGCATGCTTGTCCCCAGAAATGAAACTCTCCACTCACAGGAAGGGAAGCATTTTACTGAACAAGATCAAATGTCTCCCAATCCAGTCACCCACACTGTCCTGGGTTTTTACCTGGGATGACAGAGTCCTGAGAGTGAACAACGGTAAATACACAAAGATGAGTTCATAATGCAGTCAACCAGAAAAGCCAGTGCGGCAAAAGACAAAAGTGTACTTTTATTTCTCAAGTTGGCTTTTAAGGAATAAAGACGAGAACCAAACAAGATGCCTTGGAAACTGCCATCCTGCTAAGGCGAATCTATTCTCCAGATTCTTTTTGTAGGAGAAATTCTAAAATAGTTGTTCTCCCACCCAAGTACTAACCAGGCCCGACCCTGAGTAGCTTCTGAGATCAGACAAGATCAGGCTCGTTCAGGGTTAAAATAGTTGTTTAAAATAAAGCAGCAACTGGGGGCTTTTTAAGATAAGCTTTGAGAAAATCTTCAGACCAGGAAAAGTTGATAGAAGGGACTGCTGAGGCAGGTGACAGCACTCGCTCTGGGAGCCTCCCTGAAAAAATTAGCTCTTCTCACCAGGTGTTTTCAGGGAGCCTAAGACACCACTTTCCCCCACAAGTCCCATTTCTAGAACAGACAATGTCAAAACCACAACTTCTGAGAAGCTAGTCATCACCCTAATCCTCTGAAATAAAAATAGGAGTTTTTCAATTGATATTTAGGCCAACTAACTGGAATGTTATCATGTAGGACCCTATCAGAATCTTACGAGCTCATTTTTACCACCACTACTGGAGTCTAAGTTTAAGACAGTAAAATACACGACTTGGGGAAATATGAGGTCCACACACAAACTTAGAACAATCCATCAATTCTCAACCTCAAGTTCAAATTTGCTGTCCCTGCCTGAACTGAAAGCTGTTTCAGACCACCTGCACCGGAATCCCAAGGATTGATGTTCTTAGAACCCTCCTACCAGCCTCCTCAAGCAGAACCTGCAGGAGAGCTGAGACATGGCTTTTTCAATCAGCTCCCAGGGCGATTTTAAGAATCACTCATCTAAACCCATGGCCATCTTGGCCATGTCATACCTTCTCCCCTTCAACCGATATTCTAATAGGCACACGGTAGTTACTAAATCCTGCAGTTCTCCTAGTTACTAAATCCTGCAGTTCTCCGCGGATAGCAGCTTAAACGGAAACAAGTTCAATATTGAGGACCATGCACGACTTTAGGTGGTTCGGGGTCTCTGGCACACCCCAGAAAGAATTAAGTCCAGGAGGACCAGGGCAGCTAGTTCTTCAAGGACTCAGGACCAAAACATCCCTTCCCCTCTTTAACGTCTTCACCTTAGTAAGCAGCACCTCCGGGCTATACCTGCTGCCCACCAGACACTTCCTTTGGCACTCCCAACCCACTTTAAGGCACACACATTCCTGCTTCACAGAGCTGCCTCACGACTGGCGTGCAAGTGCTTTACACACACGCACACACGCGCGCGTACACGTCCCACTACTGTGTCAGGGCTGAGGAATCAGACACCCTGCCCGCTGCTCTCCTCCATCCCTCCACTGAGGCCCTGCCCCACCCCGGCTCCGAGCAACTTTCCCACTCGCGGATCAGTCCCCGCCCTACCCGACACCGGCCGCCCG